ACGTCACGAACATGACTTTTGCTGTGCTGAGCCCCAAACAAGCCACCTTATGGGCAAAACGCTTGCACAGGGGATCTGGATGCTGGCTGGTGAATAAGAGAACTCCGCCCTTCTGTGGCAGTCTATCTTCAAAGGCCAGGCATGTGCAGGAGAAACAGTAAGGCGGTGGAGGGGGGAAGGTGGGCAGCCAGGTGTGTTCTAGCACGTTCGTGTCTTTCTCAATTTACTTGCTGGGGTCCTAAGAGAGTTTCTCGGACTTTCCACCCCGTCTGACCCTTCCGAAGGGGGAGCCGAGGGGTTCTCTGGGAGCAGAGACTTTTTCAGGGTGGCTCCCCTAAAGGTGCTCGCTTTCAGCACCACGGAGAGGGGCTTTCCGAACCTCTCCAAAACTTCTCCATTTTTCTCCCCATGGTACCATTTCTCCTCTACTGCCAGGTGTGGTTTTCCTCTAGTACTGGCACCGCTCCCTTCCCATCTTACCATAGTGTCGCTGCTGCTGCTGCTTTGATTGTCATTGGCCAAAGAGGAAGTTTGGCATTTTCTTTTCCACACCGGCTGTTTCCCCCACAGAACCATCAGAGGCTGAATAAAGCAGTGAGAAAAATAACCAACTGCTTTCCTGGTCATTGGCTCATGGCAAAAAACAGCCAGAGGAACCAAGCATGTGCAGAGGGCCTCCTCCCAACTGCAGGCCCTGCTGGCAAAGGGGTGAGGGGGGAAGACCAGCAAATGAGGTCAAGTGAAGGAAACCGTTTGTGAGTCAGCTGCTCCTCCTGACTCATCCACAAACGGCAGTTGATGTTCAGGCTGATTATAAGAGTCAAGTGTGAACAGGCTCAGCCGCGAGGCCCCAGCCACACGCTACTTTCTGGGCTTCTCCTCCCAGAATTCCCCTCCTAGCATTTGCAGAGGATTCTGGGAATGGAAGTCCACATCTCTTCCTGAAAACCTCCAGCGATGGAGCATCCGCAACAGCAGGAGCGGTTTCCTCCCTCCATCTCGCCCTCCCTCCGTCTGTCGTGTGTATCTCAAAAATCATACAATCTTAGGACTGGAAGGGACCTTGGAGGTCTTCTATCCCAGCCCGCTGCTCAAGCAGGGATGGAGCCCCCACAACCTCTGAAGGCAAGTCGTTCTATGAATTCATTGTCCTCCCTCTCAGGAAATCCCTCCTTAGTTCTAGGTGGCTTCCCTCCGTGATGAAATTTCCATCCGTTGCTTCTCGTCCAGCCTTCAGGGGCTTTGGAGAACACGTTGGCCCTCTCCTCCTCTCTGGGGCAGCCCCTCAAATCTTGGAAGATGCTGTCATGTCACCCCTTTGTCCAGGGGTGTCAAACTCGATTTCATTGAAGGCCGCATCAGGATTGTATTTTACCTCGGAGGGCCAGAGTGGCTCGACATCACTCGTGTCAGGGGGGCCTGGGGTGGCCGGAGCCCCCTGCGAGAGAAAACAGGCTCCGGAGCTCCGTTTTCGGCTGCAACAGCCTCCTGTAAGTCACCCTCTGCCAATGACAACAGAGCTCAAGAGGGCTGTGGGCAGCTCACCCGAGTTCTGTTTTGGCTGGCAGAGGCACCGCAGGCCAGTCTTTCGCCATTTCCAGGTGGCCCTGCGGGCCAGATCTAATCACCCCGCGGGCCGGATGTGGCCCTGGGGCCTTGAGTTTGAGACCCCTGCCTTAGTCCTTCTCTTCATTAAACTAGACCTCCCCAAGGTTCTTCCTGTGTTTTGTCCTCCAGGCCCCTAGTCATCTTTTTTGCTCTTCTCTGCACTCTTTCCAGAGTCTCCGCATCCTTTTTTCAATACTGGGGACTAAAACCAGCCGCAGCCTTCCCACTGCGCCTTCCTTGACCCTCCAGCCGGCCGAAGCGCTGGGAAGCCCAGTGGCCGTTGGAGCAAGCGAGCAAGGCACAATAAGATCCGTTCACCAATATTTATTATTCTCCTGTCTCCCAACAATGCCCCAAGGGCGACTCCCCTGGGCCTCTGCCTAGGAGATCAAAGCCATGTATGTATGTATGTATGTATGTATGTATGTATGTATGTATGTATG